CTAGGAAGAATTATATTTAATTATGTGTTGTTAAGTAAGAATTTATGGAGTTGATGCTTAACAAGAACCAACAGAAATCATTACAGAATCATAGAATCAAAGAATTACAGAATGACAGAATCACAGAATATGATGAGTTGGAAGGGACTCATGAGGATCATCGAGTCCAGCTCCTGGCCCTGCACAGGACCATCCCCAAGAGTGTGGGGATGTGCCTGAGAGTATCTCCAGATGCTTCTTGAACTCTATCAGGCTTGGTGCTGTGATCACTTCCCTGGGGAGCCTGTTCCAGCACCCAACTACCCTCTGGGTGAAAAACCTTTTTCTAATATGCAACCTAAACCTCCCCTGACACAACTTCAGGCCATTCCCTTGGGTTCTGTCACTGGTCACCACAGAGAAGAAATCAGTGTCTGACCCTCCTCTTCCCCCCATGAGGACGTTGTAGACTGCAATGAGGTCTCCCCTCAGTCTCCTCCAGGCTGAACAGGCCAAGTGACCTCAGCCGCCCCTTATACAACTTCTGTTCAACATCCTTCACAATCTTTGTTGCCCTCCCTTGGACGTTCTCTAAGAACTTAATAACTTTCCTATATCGCGGTGACCAAAATTACACACAGTATTCAAGGTGAGGCTGCACCAGTGCAGACTAGCTTATAGCCACCACTGAGACTGGACTGACATTTTCATGATCGGTAAAGGGTATTTTGTGATTTTTGTTTTGGTTTTTGTTGTTGTGTTTTTGTTTGTTTGTTTTTGTTGTTTTTGTTTTGTTTCATTTTGGGTTTTATTTTTGCTTTGTTTTCTTTGTTTTTGTTTTTGTTTTGTTTTGTTTTGTTTTGGTTTTGGGTTTTGTTTTTGTTTAAGCATAAAGAAAAAAACAATCTGTGAAAACATCAAATAATTAAATTTATTTTTTCTTTATAATCATAGAAATAATAGTAGATGGACCCTCAAGAGGTCATCTGGGCTGATCCCAATCCTATCACATTATCAGCAGTATCAAGTAGGTTTGTACAGAATAGCTTGAAGTACACTACAATGTAAGTAGACACCACTTTGTAGGCAATTTTATGTACCATTCTCCTAAATTATTCTTCCTGTGACAGTGATGAAACTACAGGATCATAGAATGGTTTGGGTTGGAAGGACCTTAAAGATCACCTAGTTCCAATCCCTCTGCCATGGGCAGGGACAGCTTTCACTAGATCAGGTTGCTCAAAGTCCCATCCAACCTGGTCTTGAACACCTCCAGGGATGGGGCATCTACAACTTCTCTGGGCAACCTGTTCCACTGACTCACCACTCTCATGGTTAAAATTTTTTTCCCTTATATCTAATCTAGAGCTACTCTTTTCTAGTTTGAAGTCATTCCCCCTTGTCTTGTCACTACATGCCCTTGTAAATAGTCTTTCTCCTTTCTTATAAGCTCCCTTCAGGTACTGGAAGGCTGCAATTAGGTCAGCCCGAAGCCTTTTCTTTTTCAGGCTGAACAAACCCAGTTCTCTCAGCCTTTCCTCATGTTCCATCACTCTAATCGATGGCCTATCTTTACTACAAATTACTAATATTCTAATAGTTTAGTACATACTACTGTGGTGCAGTCCAATAAGGTGTGCATGCTTTAGGAGAATGCACACTCTTTATGTAATGTGGGCCAAGGCTCTCCTCAAATGGAATTGTATCAATGATTTCAACAGAAATCAGGGCTGGTTTTGACTGCTTTCTTTATATTCTAGTGTTTATTTTTCTCTGAAGCAAATAAAATTAGGTAATTTTAAGTGGCTTATGGTAATTCAATTTGGGGCAGGGTATCACAAAAAACCCAAACAATTAAACAAAAAACCTAAAGAAATTATTTTAAGACATACATTATGAATTAAAAATATTAAAAACCACAGACTAGCTTCAAGAAGAAGTTTGTCAGCCCTCAGGTGTGGTGATGTGCAACTTTTTCTCTTTCATATATAAATAAAAATTCTTATTTTTGTTCAACCACATTTTTGCAGGTTGAAAACAATTTAGAGAAAGCTCATTAATACTTTTCTTACCAGCTGCCACTATCTGTAACATAAGATGAATGAATCACCAGCTGACATAATAGGAAGGTTATATTGCATAATGCCCTATGAGATGTGAATAGTGTATTATGGCCTTTATAGGAGAACACATGCCCTTGTTGATTGTATAAAACATTTGATACATGCTACCAACGTTATCACAAGGTTTTCTCTTCGTATCATGTCTATGTAACATGGAATCCTACAAGGTGCTGAGGCACTAATAATAGACACCCCATAGCTTACCATATTCATATTCCGTAACAGAAGCTACAAAGTCTAGTACAGCTGCTTCGCAGCAGGACAATGTGCTCCTCAAACATAGGCTTTCTTAATATGCTGTGTACCTTTGTGTAGTAATGGGGATTTTTTAAATTTCTTTGTGCGGGCAGGGCTCATCTGATTCACTTCTTTCTAATATTGAAAAGGGGGTTTCTAGGGCGTTTTGGGTTTTTTGGCTATTTTGAAATTGTGTAAGTTGATGATTATTAATAGGGGAAATTTTCAATGAAAAATTACACTTGGATATGAAATCTTCAAACAAGGCTTATTCTTCTTTGAGGATGGTAATTTTTTTAAGGTAAAATGATGATGCTTTGGTATGAAACCTCATTTTATTTCCATGAGAGAATCCTTTTTCACTGTTCTTTGTCCAGAACAGACATTGAGCTGCTATATCACTACCATTTTGTCCATGCACAACCTCTTTCTTCTTCCTTGTCATTTTTGGATGCTGACTACCTTGTTAGATTCATGAGACCTTGATATTTTCAGTTTTAGTTCTCAAAAACACCTATTCTGCCAATTATATAGCAGGTTGAAGATTAGTCTTCAGCATACAATGCCTCATAACTCATGTGGTTTCTATACAATCATAAAATAAGAATGATTTGGATTGGAAGGGACCTTAAAGATCATCTACTTCCAACCCTCATGCCATGTGTTGGTACCCACCTCTCACTAGATCAGCTTGCTCAAAGCCCCACCGAACTTTGCTAGGGATGGAGCATCCACAACTTCTCTGGGAAACCCGTTGCACTGCCTCACCACTCTCACAGTAAAGAATTTCTTCCCTATATCTAACCTAAATTTCCTCTCTTTCAGTTTGAAACCATGGCTCCTTATCCTAGTACTATAGTTCCCAATGAAGGAATATCTTTATCATAGACTCGCTCTGGCAGTATTTAAGTATGTTATGAGAAAAAACTAAATTTGAGGCTGCTGCTGCTGGACTGTGTAGCACAGTGGTTGAACTGGAAAGTTCGGTCTTCATCGGTGCTGTCTAAGCTCCTGCTGAATCCCACAATTGTGTTGAATTTTTTTCTCTTATAAGCTAGATGCCCAAGCCTGGCCTTGACTGCAAGCTTGGATCATGGTTCAACACTAGCACAGACATACTCAACTTAATGTGATCTTCCTACCAAATACCACTTTTTTTTGTTAAAAAAAGGTTCGTTAAAACTTTTTTTACCCTTCTTTCTCTACCTATCAGGAAAAGTATGGTAGAAGATGAAAGATGTCTTGTTTGTTATTTAGTATATTTTAGCCACTTCAGGACTGGGAAAGTCTGAAGGCGTGATAATGAAATGGATTGTACAGTGGAAATGTACACTTCTCCATATGTAAAGGTAAAAGAAAGAGACAAAAGAAAACCAAAACCCAGACACTTGATTTTATCAGGGGTAGGTGTCTTACAGAAAATAAGGCAGTTTCCAGAAATGATTTATGCATGTAAGTTAGGGAAACATAAAAGTTGATCCTAGATTTTTCCTACCTGTTAAGTAGGATTTGATTTTATTTTAATTAATCCAAGATACAGTTCTCTTGCTCACTGACATTAAGAAGAAAAATTCATGGTGACTCTTCCAAAAAAGTTTGAATGGAGATGAGTAGATGGTTTGAAATAGGTCAGAGAAGTTTCTCAGAACTAATTACACTAATTTACTGGCACTTCTCTGACTAAAATTTCAGTAGCACTAATTCCTAAATATTGGAATATCTTCAGTTTTTTAGTATCCCGGTTGCTCTGCCGAGAAATGTGATGTTTAAAACATAAGGCTTCTAACTGATCTTCAGTTTCTTGTTATCAGCTAAAGAAATGACAATCTGGTTAAAAATTAGATTCATAACTTGTCTCTGCATGAGGCAGAGAGAGGGAATGTACTCATGAGAGCTAGAAAAGGTCTGAGGCAAAGAACTAGGCCAAGGAAACATCCTGGCATCAGTATTTTTGCTGTACCTCTCCCCACATTTTACCTAGTGTAATGGGTGTAGATGGCAATGCCTTGGCAGTGAGATGGCTAAAGAGGGGAGACTTTCCTGTGCTGGATGCAGTTGCGTCCAGCTGGTTCCAGTGGACCCACTGCAGGGCACAGCTGAGACCCTCAGCCAAATATAATTAAGAAAGCGTAAAACACTGCACGGGAGCTGAGGGAGAAGTGAGAAATAAAAGGGCAAGAAATAGCCCTGCAGACAGCAAGGTGAGAGGCAGAGAGGGAGGAGGTGGTCCAGAGCAGACCAGAAACTGGAGCAGATATCCACACTTCAAGCCATGAAGGTACCCAGGCTGGAGCAGGTGGATATTTTCTGAAGGAAGCTGCGGTCTGTGGAAAGTCCATGCCTACATCCCATGGGAAGGACCCGTGATGGAGTGGGGTAAAAGTGTGAGAGGGAAGGAACAGCAGAGAAGAACTGTTATGGACTGACCACTACCTCCATTTCCCATCACCCTGCTCCATTTGGCCATGAGGTAGAGGAATCAAGAATGAAGGAGTTAAGTCAGGCCTGGGAGAAAGGGTGAGGTGGTGCTTTAGGTTTTTTTCTCACCATTTGAATGTCTCTTAATTAACAAAATTTTAAATAAATTTCCCCTAAATGAATTTTTGTTTGTCTGTGAAATGGTAATTACTAAATGATCTCCCTGTATTTACCTTGACTCATGAGGTTCTTTGTCTTATTTTTCTTCCTCTCCCACTGAAGAACAAGAAAGCACCTGAGTGGTTGTTTGGCAGCCCGCCAAGGTCAACCCACCACACCTATGTAGTTAGTGGCCAGTCTTCAAATTCTTTGTTTCCTTGAAGGGAGTTAGATGACAACTAATCTGTAGAAGTAAAAGGAAGAGTAAGACAAGAGGATAGAAAAGCACAAAGGCAATTTAAGTGGATAGTGAGGTCATCGGATGACCAAAATAATAAAGATTTTTCTTTTTTCAAATATTATTCAGAGGGAAGTAGAATCTATGAACTTCATAGGGCCAGATTTTCATCATTGCAAATCAAATCTCCTTTGCTTCCATAATGGCTATGCCAATTTGTGACAGATGAAGATGTATTGTACCTTGAAATGATCTTACAGTCTGAAGTAGTTTAGAAAACTTGTCTTTTAGCATAATAAAAGAGACTGTCTAATGTTTATTGATTTTTTTGTGACTGTGTTTTTTTTTCCCCAGTGTTTCACATTTCAGAAATAGGAACATATATTTGAAACTCTAATGATAAGGTTAAAATTCCCAAGGATTCAACAAAAGCTAAGACAGAAACAAGAGAGAAGATGGTGAAGGTTGTAGGATAGGTAGTACAGTATATGGATATTTAGAGTTTAGGTCTATAAGGCATAATCAGAATCTAACTTGCATGTGCAATATAGACGTTTTTGTCACAGCTCTCTCCTTGCCTAATGCCTTTTCCCCATAATTCTTCCATGTTTCTTGGCTTTGCTATTTTCTGTTCCAAATGTTCTGCTTTTTTTCTACTTCATTTTTTTAGCCCTCCCCTCCATTACTTTCTAGTTCTATTTTACAATCTTTTCAGAACCCAGTAGTTATGGTTTTCACATTCAGTTTCAACAAATATGTTTCATATTAAGCAAAATGGGCACGTCCATTATTATTGAACATACTTTTCTTTTGAGAAGTAATAGTAGCTTGGGCTACGTGTGCATTACTATGTATGACTATATACAGGAGCTTTCCTACTTTTCAGAAAAGCACAATAAAATCTGTTTGGTACTTTACGGAGCTGTGAATCAGCATATTTTTTGCAGTTTGTATTTTTTTTTAGCCTAGTATCTGAAATCAGAATTGTTCCAAAATATGTTCCAAAATGTGCAGGTTTTCTTTTAATTCTCTTTTAACTGATAAGATTAATTAACAAAAAACAGCAAACTGAACTGACAAGGACAGTTGTTCTACTGGAAAACAGTAAGAGATATATATGACAAGAAGAATCCCCAAAAAATGGTAAAGACCTAGTTGTCTTGGAAATATTGCGAGGATACATTTACAAAGAAAGTACTGCTGTATCACACTAATAAATTTGAAATTCTCTATTAAAAATATTAAATATTTTAATTGATTAATTAATAATATCAGCTCCTCTGCTGCTCAGCACAACTTGGATGAACTTCAGAGAACATTAAACAGAGATTTAAAGAAAATTTAAATCTTGTCACTGCTGAAAAAAATTTCTGTTCATTCAAGAGAAATGTTTTTCTGAACTCAAATTTCTCACTTTAGAAAAGTAATTCAGTCTCTGCTTAAAGTATAGATACAAGAATCTGAATATGATGCCTACATTGTGATCTGCTGACTTACAAATAAAGTTGGCAACAAAGTTTAAAGGACTCTGTTTCAGCATGAGAAACCACAGGGATCTCTTGATTTACCACCTCTATTAATTTGATTCTGTGGATGATCATACTGTGCCATCCTTTCCTTGCATGTACCAACCTCCGTTACAAAATTTCTCAATTTTTGTATATCATCATTCCTAATCTTCCACAACCTCATTGCTTTGATGCCTGCTGCTTCTCAGCCTATTTTTAAAAGTTTATGTTTAAAAATAAACCTCCAGCCTCAGTTAGATATGTCTTTGGTGTTTTTCCACTTCCTGTTTCTTTGCAAAGAGCAACAAAATCCTTTCTTGATTTACATTTTGCCGAACTTCCGTTTCTATTATAGGACAAGTGTTCCTTATGAGAGGTCATATTGAAGACCCCTTTTTTTTTCCTGAGGTTAAACTTCTAGTTTTCTAAATTTCAGTTTTAAAAGTTGGACTCAGTGTTTTTAAATAATTCTCACCAGGACTACTAGACTCATAGAAAGTAGATTAGGAAAAGATTCCAGGAGTTTACCTTGCTACTTGGTGTAGCACCATTTATAATTTTCTACAGATGGTTTTCCTAATATCCTTCTAACTCTGCTATTAATTTTAATGTTTGTATGAGCGTGATTACTTTTCCATAGTCTTGCTTGATTCATAGAATCAAAAATACCAGGTTGGAAGGGGACCTCAAGGATCATCTGGTTTAACCTTTCTTGACAAAACCATGGTCTAGGCAAACTGTCCCAGCACCTTGTCCAGCTGAAATTGTGTAAGGTTGGAGAATCCACCACTTCCATGGGCAGATTATTCCAATGGCTGATTGTTTTAATGGTGAAAAATTTTCCGCTTGTGTTCAACTGGAATCTCCACAGGAGTAACTTGTACCCAATATCCCTTGTCTTTTCCACGTGACTCTTCGTAAAAAGAGAATCTCCACCGTCTTTGTAGCTGCCCTTTGAATACTGGAACACGATTATAAGATCTCTTCTAAGCCTTACTTTCTTAAGCTGAACAAACCTAATTCTCTCAACCTTTCCTCGTATGACAAGCGTCCTTGTTCTTTGGTCATCTTTGTGGCTCTTCAATAATCTTTGTGTTCTTTCTCTGAAACCTCTCCAAACTGACTACATCTTCAATAGTAATGTAATTTGGTCAGTTTTTTCCTATCTGTTATTTGCTTTCAGTTTATAGAAGTTAACCCAAATATTATCCAAGTTTAATGATTTTGCACTTTGGACTACTTGATCTTACCTCATCGTTTTTAATATGGTTCATGTATCAATGTCTTTTGAATCTTTCTATATGATTTTTCCATGTTCCTTGGACTGATATTTTCCACCTTTGTCTTATCAATATGTTTCACCATTCTATATCATTGAAAATATGGAATTACATTGGTCTGTGGTTTTCTGTGGTTTCTGATGATTTATGATCTTTACATCAAGATAATGAAAAACTACAGAAAATTTCTAAGTTAACGTTACTTTCCATAATTATGCATGGCATTTTTTCCATTTTCCAGCAATGTCATAGTGAAATATCCAGAGAATGTTAGGAATTAGACCAAAGCTCCAGATACCAAAGAAAAATTAGGAAAACTTGAAGAACTTTCTTTCATACTTCATATCAGATCACTAGGTAAAACTTGACCCTGTCAGACATTCTGAACAGTTAGCCTAAGTAATGTTAATATTAGAAAAAGCCCTCATAAGTACCATATGCTTTACATGAAAACATGATCTAAGAGTATTGCACAGAACATAGTTAATCTGATATTAATTAATTAAATCATAATTAAATCACACTCATATACAGAAAATATTAGCAACATAATAGCTACTTCAAGAGTCATGAAAACAATTTTTCAAAACAAACTCAATGTAAAAAAAAATCAATATAATTATGTTTTGTTTTTTTTTTTCCATTTCATAGTATGATTCTTTCCCTAGACACTAAAGATAAATCTATGGTTTTTTGAACCATAAATTTTCTAGTCTCAGTTGTAGCACCTTGTATCAATAACCTGCAATGTAATCTGGCTGCAGCTGATTGTGCATTATCCTCCCTCTGGAAGGGAAAATCTTTAGTGTTGCTCAGCCCAAGAATATTTTCAGCACATAAAGCTCCTGACCCTGAGACAGACTTCTCTGCCTGAGATAAGGAAAAGAAGGGAATGGCTCTTTGTACATCTTGACACAAGTGTTAGCTTTGTGGATAGCTTTTCAGAGCCAAAGTGGAGACGAAAGTAAGATAAGAATCAGAGCGAATACCCGTGTCCCTGATTTCACCCTTCTCACCCATACTGTTGTGGGAGGCTTTGATATGAGTCTCAGCAGCAGAGAGGATGCCAAGAAAACTCACCACTCTGATGCCATCTTACACTCCTCTAACATTACTTCACAGTCCAGAGGCAAGGCTATTGCTCCTCTGTGGCCCTTGTAGCTGTTTGATCTATGGAGTAAGAGCAGAGTACAGGGATAATACACATTCCAACACAGGACAGCCTGTAAAATAGATACAACTTCAATGAATTGCTTCACTTTGGCGATGACATGACTTAAGCTAACCTTCCTTCTCAGGATGGCAAAGGCCCTTGTAAAAATCTGAATGTGCTTCAGAGAGGTATACTTGAGAGTAGGAGAGAAAATGGTACACCTAACAGACTTTCCTATGTGTTTCTTCATTTCTTAGCCTATCACCCTTGATCACTTGGCATGATCTAGTTCTCATTATTTGTATTTAGAACACTGTACACTGATACCAAAGTTTAATTTTTAGCTTTATTTCTGAACTATATGAAAAGAAAAATATATGGAATATAGAATAAGCCTGGACTGAAAAATGAAAAATTACTATTTATTTATTTATATAGTTAGCTAGTAAGTGTCTGTTGTCTATGATTCTATTCTATTTTCATTGCTTTACTGTTATCAGATCTGGAAGGGAAGCTGCGAGGAAAATTGCTTACTTTACAGATCACTGGTTAAACTCCAGAAAGTCAGCTGGCATAAAAAATGCCTGAGCTCAGAAAGAGACTTCAAAGTTTTTGTAGCATTGTTCCGAACTTCTGATCCATAAAAGGGTTATCAGAACTCAAAAGTAAAGTGATCTGCTGAACACTTTCAAGCAGAATGATTTAGGTTATGAATTTGATTAGCAAATGCAATTACAAATTACTATATACCTTGAAATATGAATAAAAACATGCTCATTCTTATCTCAATCTATTGCAGGTACAAGCAAACTTTAAATCAGGCATGTCGTCAATTTTAATAGAATTGTTTTTATCAAGATGAAGTCTCTTCTTAAGATTAAGGAGATTTATTGAGACACAAAATGTCTGTTTCTGGATTATGGACATTAGGGAACTAATGGTTCTATAAGTTTTCAATTTTACAAAAGGATAGAAATTACCAGATTGCCTGCTCAGGGGTCCATCCTATTTTAGGACAATGACATAAAACTGAAAAAAATGGAACTTTCCCATTTATTCCAAAAAGCTCTGTCCCAGACCTTATAGCAGGCCTTATGTATCTCTTAAAAATGAAAACAAATGAACCATCAGAACAATTTTAGATACTTTCTTGGGAAAAGGTCAAGTTTTAACTGTTGGAGAGAATTCAATTTTGTATATGGGGAAAAAAAATATCACTGAATGGTTCTTTAGCACTGCTAGTCAGGATAGTTGTTAGGTTTCTAAAAGAAAGCAAAAGTAAATTTAAAGATGAAATCTGAAGTGTTTTTATCCATATAGACTTGTCTGTTCCCTTTGTAAGTCCTTTTAGCCACTAGAGAGGATGCTGGCTACTTATCATGAAGAAAATCCTTGTCTGACATACAGCTTCATGTTTGAGTTCTCTTCAAGACAGTAAAGAAAAACTCTGGTATAAAGCCCATCAGCAATTTTTGCTAGCATAAAAATTCTGAGTTGTCTTTTTGTTCTGAGATGGCTTCAGACAATTTCAGCTCATCTTATCTGCTAAGAGTAGAGATTGAAGTACAATTTTTAAACAAATCTAAAGGTGTTGTGTTTGTGGGGAGGGGTTGTATTTCTTATTTCTATTACTTCCTCAAAATTTTTTTTTTTTTTTAGAATGCAAGGTTTGATTTTTTACTGAAGCCTCTTTTTGATGTATTCATGGGATTCCTCAAAGTCCTCTAGGGGTAAAATCTGAAATGAATTCACTTATCTGAGAAAAAAAATATACTACTGATATCACTGCCTAAAGAAATATTAGGAAAAACAAATAAATTACAATAGCAGAATCATTCCAAAGAGAAAAGAGACTCCAGAGGCAGAGTGTTTTCTTGCACATACAGTATATTAGAGATGCAAGTTACCTCAAGGCTTTCAATTGATTTGATTTTTCTGCGGTTGGTTTAACTCAATATTTCAAGGTCTTTGATTCTATATTAGGTTGCTCTTTGCCTCTTCATTATGTTTTTATTTTGAAATATTATGATCAGAAGCACTATTTTGAATGTCATATATTCACACATATTTGAATACACAGGAATACATGAGAGCATTTGTGTTTTATATGACCTCATTATTCCCTAGGCTAAAGTGATCACTTCTTCCCTTCACCAATCCAAACTCTTTCCCCCCACCCCCGCTCTGCCTCACATATACATTTAATACTTTAGGAAAAATATAATTCAAGACACTAGCTACTGTGGTAAAATAAGTGAAGATATTGAGGGTTCCTGTGAACAGTGCATGATTTTTGGTCAATTATTAAGAATGAAGATCATCATCTCATGAGTATCACGCTGAGCAACTTAGAGCAGGGGAAGGAGAAAACACATGATTTGTCTTTGCAGATTGCCCTAGACTTAACATACACTACAGACTGATCTCAACTACATTGGCTATAATGGTACCTTCCCAGTAATTGAGGTCTGTCTTTAAACAAAGATGGCTATAAAATGAAAAGCTGAAGTGACTTTGCTTCTACCACCTGAGAAAACATTAAGGAGTGAGGTAACAACTGGATTTCTTTTAGTTTGTTTATTTTTAATTTTGGCAAGCTGTCAATAGCTAAGCAGATAACATCCTGTATGACTTTTTTGAAAAACAAGAAAAATGATTCACATGTTTTAGTTACCTTCATTTAACTGTCATATATGAAACATAACTGTTTTTTGGAAAGTCATTTATTTAAACTGCTTCTATTATTTTGTAAAATCCCCTAGAGTAGATACAGACATTGTATGAAGAGTTTCCAACAGATTGATTTATGGGTTCAAGACTGACCATAAACTTTACTGTATGACATTCCTTAGTGCATTTTTAAATGTCTGAAAATTATCAAACTGGATTAAGGATTTGATTGTTTGTGATTATTTTTTTATGTGTCTTATATATAAAGAGATTACTGTCCTTTGTTTCATTAATATTTAGGAGTTTTATTGTATGTCAAAGACCTGAGGAATTTAGCACTTATTTGCAATGTGTCATGCAGTTATAACATAGGTGCCATCTGTACAGTACAAGCAAAAGGGGATTTTTCTGCCCATAAGAGTTTACAGAAACACCTGAAAGGTAAATGTGATACCTAATTCTCTCTAAGAACCATGACAATGAGAGCAGCAGAGGAGCCCGTCATGTAGGGGAGGTGGTGAACAAAAAGGGGTCAAAGGCAGACATGGTAATTCTCTGTGGCTGAGCAGTACATCCTCCTCAGGCAAGGTGGGAGCTGAAACAGCTTTTCCATTCAATCTAACCTTCCCAGGGGACATTTCTGGGGGCACTTCAAAGGCAACTGTGAAAATACTCCTGTATGGGAGACATAAGTGAGTTCAGTGTCTCAACCACTGTTGCTGGAGGTACAGTCAGCTGCAGTGTGAGTAGTCCCCAGGCTACCAGCTAACTCTGCTGTCTTTACAGATGGGGTCCTCTCTGTTGAACAGAGGGATGGGACCTATCAGCAGTTTGTGTTGCTGCTGCCTGATACAACTACAACCATGTTGTTTGTGTTTATAATAAGGCCTTCTGCCACTTGGTCATCTCTTAGTGGAGTAGGCCTCTGCTATAGTTACTGAGAGGTGTCTCTGCTGCACTTAAGGTGATGTATACTTGCTCTGATGGTGCCAGACAATGTTTTTTATCCCCTTGCCTTGGCAAGCCTATTCAGAATTTATTTCAAAATCTGGCATTCCACGTTCATACTTCAATGGTCAATAAATATTTAAATAAATAGATAAATGAATAGATAAATGTAGGTCACAGAAATTGGTAAGCATAGGTTAATACACAAAACACAACTTTGTAAGGCTGGAAAAGGCTCCTGTGGAAAACTGGAGACATCAATCATGTCTGGATATGCTTTTTGTAAATTTAACCCAATACTTTTCATACAAAACCATTGGATTGTCATGGTTTAGCCTCTGCTAGCAGCTAAGCGCCACAAAGCCACTTGCTCACTCTCTTACAGTAGGATGTGGGAGAGCATTGGAAGAGTAAAAGTCAGAAAATTCACTAAAGACAGTTTAATAATATAAAAGAAATAATATTAATACTAATAATAACATAAAGCTGTAAGGAAAAAAGGAAAAATAGAGTTAGATAACACCAGATATAGACAACTGATGGAAACGAAAACCATTGCTCACCACCAACAATTGACTAATGTTCAGCCAGTCCCTGAGTAGACCCCCTGCCGCCAATCTCCTCCCTAGTGTAATTGCTGAGCATAGGGTATGGAATGTCCCTTTGGTCAGCTGGGGTCAGCTGGCCCAGCTGTGTCCTGTCCCAACTCCATGTGCATCCCCAGCCCATCCCCAGACTGGTGCGAGTCACAGAAAGGGCCTCCACACAGTGTGAGCACTGCTCAGCAGTAACTACATCATCACTGTCTGTAGCAGGATACTCTGCCCTTGGAATGTGGTCAAACAACTCAAACAGTGCCTTATTTTGCAAGCTGTCAGTGATGGGCTGAGAGGGGCGACAGGTGCTGCTTTTGGTATTGAATTATGCTAAAACCAGTCTGGCACATCAACTCTAAATTAACATCCTGATAGTGAGGCAAAGATTTGGCAGATAAGCTGCTAAGCTGACCTAGAGACACTTTTCATTTTGACCTGACAGTCAATCGCTTTATACCATAATATTCCAGTCCACTTTCGTGCAATTAGATTCTTCTAACATACTCTTCTTGGAGTGTGTGGAGATTCTCCCTTGAAGTGGGGACGAACTTTCAAGGATATTGCTGGACGTCAAGAGAAAGAGATCTGCCCATGAGCATTGGTATGGTGAGTTACATCAAATCTCTACTTAATAACTATGGGGTTTTTGCTAGCTTTAATATAATTGATTTGATATAGTGTGCTATACTATACACTACTGTAGTTTCAGCTTTTATATATTGTAGTAAATAGTTCTGATTAATATCTTTTTTCTAATAATCTGTAATAATAATTAATTACTTTTATATACATATTCCAGGTTTGCCATCTTTTATCCTGTGGGACAAAGTTGTACTTAAACATTGGAGTCTGGGGCTAAGACTGGATCTAGCTGCACCTAGGCTCCTCTCTGAGAAGGAGTTTAGAAGGTAACGGGGGTCCTTTCTGCACCTCCTGCTTCAATGGGAGAGCTTCTCTAATAAATTTGTCTAAAGACCCACTAATGTGCGACAGTGTGATCAATACCATTTTCATCACAAATCCAAAACATAGCCCTGTACAAGCTACTATGAGTAAACTTTACTCTATCCCAGCCAAAACCAGTACAGGATGCAAAAAAGAAAAACCCTGCAAGTCAGTAGCTGTGTTACTTGATCATATCAACTTATCATATTCAAACTGGCTGCCTCAATAACAGTTTGAGGTGAATCTCCATTTTTCCTCAGGATATAACATGTTCAAGTACAAAAAAACCTTATATGGAATATTATAGGTTAAGCTACAAATATTTTGGTACACTGCAGACATAAGAAATAATATTGATAATCTTTCTCCAGATAGCTCTCATCACTCGTCCTGCATAAAATACTTTAGAAATGCAGAAATACCTTCATCAGAGCAATGTAAGACAGATAAAATGTCACAGGTGGATGCATTTATATTCTGTATCGTTACACTTTGATTCTACTTATTTGTTCTGCATCTCTGTATCTCAGTGAACATAATTCAGATCTGAGTTTTCACAGTGAAAAATCAGTAAAAAAGAAAAATCACAACTGATTAGGTCTAGACATTTTTGTCACATATTTCATTAAATTCGTATGTAAAAATATGGTCTATTACTTCTTATAGGAGTGTTTAGGAGCTTCTTTGGTGGAAAAAGGCACTGTCTGTCAGTGTGAGACTTTCACAGCATTCTCCTGTATCCAGACCCAGTCAAATATGATTCTGTGAGAGTAAAACTGTTCAAAATACATTATAGAGTGGAAACCTTTCCCAAGACCTGTATTGAAAATAAATATACTATAATACTGAAGAAGTAGATAAAAATAATAATGGTCTAATATTATTGATTGTATGCCACATGTTCTATTTTCCCACTTTCTTGCCCTTTTTTTCTGAATGTTTATAGACTAGAGATCAAGATGACTGCTTTTTAATTTTAGTTTCTAACTTTCCCATCTCTTTCCTATTACAGATTTTTATTTTTTCTATAATTCCGCTTATCTTGAGATTATTTTTTAAATTTCTCTTAGCCTTTCTTTTTCTTATTTCTCTTAGCTATGCTATGCTCATGTTATTTTTAACTCATTTTTTTACTTTATATAACTTATACCCCCCTTTTTTTTTAACACGTTTCCTCTTATGCTTCTTTTTGTCCATCAATTAAAAATATGCAATTTAATTTGAACACCAAAGATCTGGAAACATCAAAAAAGCCCTGTGTACTATGCTATCTATGCCAGGTTTTATTTTACAGGAACATGAGGTAGGGTATCATCTGGTAGGGTGGATTAATATCCACTACTGTTGGATGGTTTCCATTAACAAGCATTTTTTCCTACTGTCTGTTTATCTTGCTCAGTAAGAGCAAACCTATTCCCCTTATTTCTCCCTCTTTTTTTTTCTCAGTATGACATCTGTGTCTCATAGCCAGCAGCAGACAACCCACATGGAAGTTTCTTTGTGCAATGGCAAACCTAATTTTCCTCACAGTTCTTGAATGTTTGAGTTGTCTTCTCTGTCCTCTTTTAGCCTGTTTGAGATTTTGTCTTCTATATTTGATATTCGGGTAGTCCTGTGTTTCCTGTTCAACTCTGCAACTAGCATTGTGCCACCTCTCTATCACTCTATCTATCCCCCTCATCATGCATGGATGGATTAGGGGATGCATGGTAGGATTAGGAGGAGGATGAGCTAGGATCCGATGTCCCTTTCTCCTAAAAGGAAAAGAGCATTTACTTCAGATATTTCTGTTATTGCTGCAGCTGAGATGATAGACAAAAGGAAGGACTGTCAGTTCCCATCTGAAACCAATCTTTCCTTCTTAGCCTCTCTTCACCCTTCTTTCACATAAAAAATGATAAATAACTGCAGCCCTCTCACTTGGAAAACTGTGTACATTTTCAATGCTCATCCTGAGTATCAATTCCAAGACCATACACAAATAAGATGGAATTGCAAATGTGTACGTACTTTGAAGACGTAAAGTCCTATGCACACACTAAGTATGATTATGATGACTATTAGTGATCCTAAGTACTGTGTGATTTTTTAGGGCAGAACTAAGACTAGTTTGACATATCAAAGGGAAGTGAGCCTAGATTTGAGGCTCTGCTTTAACTAAGTCAATTTCACACCTGCTCCCTTTGTCAGTCCATATGTTTGTCATCAATGAAAAATCCTCTCCACATGAGCATTTGCAGTGGGAATGATTATGACACATTTCATTATCTTCAGTAAATTGGATGGTTCAGTCCTTGAACTGCTGAATACCCCACACAGATCTCGTCCACATTGCAGACTTCACTCAGTTATAGCGTAATTGAGTTGAACTCATCACATAGAGCCTATGCTTCTATCTCTGCTGCACAGAGGAATTTTTTCGACTGTAGTTTAGAGCATGAAGGGATTATTTTGCCCCAAATCTAAAAAAAACCCAAACTATCCATTTTGATACTATTTAAAGTCAGTGGAATTGAACAATTTGAGTAAGTAATCAATAAGAGCCCTTATTTTTTTGTGATTTCTTAAGTATTAGTTGGAATTTCTAAAGCTACAAATTGATATTTTTTATATATCTAAAATATTCTCTTCACTGAATCAGTCCATTTCCATTGTACCTTGAAACAGTTATTGCCTCATTTGTTCCTATTCAAGAGTGATAATTATACCTGACAACATTTTTACTCTATTATTGAAGCATTTTTCAGGTTAAAGCATGTCGAGGGCTTCTGCGTAATGGAGCTAAAGGACGTTGAATCAGACTAAACAGCTTTTTCCTACATTTCATTATCCCTTTTCTCTAGCAAAAGCTAGAATTCAGTATTTCAGAGTGGTTTAGAAAGTCAGAGTTCTACCTGGGGTTATAATTCCCACAGCCTTAATAGAAATAATACAATGTGTCCTGATATAATGAACATTTAATACATATTCTTATAAAGCATTGGAAATTATGTATGGAAAAATATATGAAATACCATTTTGACAAAAGCTGTTTTCTGGTGTTAATTTTCCTCACAGGAGTCTTTCTTTAATAAGTGTAAGAAATCACCTAGAAGCAAGATTTAAAGTCAAGGTTTACATCTGTGTGTTTCAAGACCCCATATAAACACATTTCTCACTCGTCTTTCAGAGGTGAGTTGGCAGTCTCTGGAGTGTGACCACAATGCATAAGGTATGTGTCACCTTGTGACACTGGCTGGATTGATTCCTTCAAGTGAGGTAGTTTGAGGAATTCCTACTTTACAGTTCTCAGTGGGGTTTAGAGATGAGAGAGATTTCAAGCTGCCAGGTGCCAAGGGCAGAAGCAGAACTTTAAGTTTCAGTGAAGTTTTACATTGGAATAATACAGTCACAAATTTTGTAGGTGCCTCCAGGTGGTTAAGTCTTCAGATAATTATAAAGGTATCCAGTTTTTATAGAAAAATAGAGTACAGACAAAGAGTATTCACCATTTTTCAGCAGAAGCTGCCAGCTAGCAATTATGAAATGGCTCAAAAATAAATTGGGAGGGTGGGCTTGTTTAGGTTTTGATTTTTGCTTTTGTTTTGTCTTCAGTCTTAATAATATGGAAGAGTTTTCAAGCAAGAAAGGTCACAAGGAAACAATAATTTCCCACTTACAGAAAATGCTTTGTTTACATTTGCATTAATCCCTCCATCCTAAACACTGTGTCACACAAACACTAAAAGATATTCTTCTTATGTTGGTGGACTGTACAAGTGTCTCACACCACTTTTTTTAATCAGAGGAACTTTAGCCACAACAATTGAAGCATTATGATTCAGAATGAGTATTGGTCAAGATGGAGAGAGAGAAGAGATTGTTGAGGAAGCCTTCAATATTTGAAGGTCAACTTGTTTACTACAAGATCTGCAGTATCATGAGCAATATATGAATTAATTGTCAAGAAGATGAGTTTTTTCCCAAGAATCAGTAAGTAAAACAGGAGGAGATGCCACATGTGAAGCCACATTGTTTTGCATAAAATAGGGTCTCTCTACCAAATCTTGATCTATAAGGCAAGTGAAACAGCAGTACTTCCATCACCCTTATCACAGAAAGAGCAGTTTCCTAGATAAATTCAATGAAACCATCAAAAAGAGAGTTGTTTGGGCTAGTTTGATGTATGAATGCAGATAGTTAAGATTCCCTTAATACTTATTAGCCCTTCCTCTGCTAGTGAGATTTACCAGAAAATCATATCTTGAGATACAGACTCAAGGCAAAGAGAAGCAATGCATGATTTATGTTGATCTATATGACTTGCCTTATGAAGAAATAAATTTGATCACAATATTATGTCTCTGATGACATTTCCACTGAGCAAAGTTCCCAACATCTTGCAGACTTTATTTTAGAGAATGTTACATAAAAGGGTATTAACATTTTGGTTAGTAGACATAGTCTTTTCTTTACAGCTTTGAATTTGTTTCTTGAAAAAGATTAAAAATTTGTCAATTATAGGAAAGACATAAAGTATAATTAACATAATCAAAAAACCCACAATGAAAATATAACTAGGGAAGGCTAAAAGAGAATTATCTCAGAGTTAAAATTATGGTATGGAATGAGTGGAGGGGGAATGTGAGTTCTGTGTGTAAACTACTCCCATGTGAAAGGCATCAATCCATCTTAGTCTCCATTATATAAATGCAGCAGAAGTGTTGCACAGGAGGCAAAGAGAGGAGGATTAACTTTTTTTTTTTTAAATTTATTTCCAGAGTTGCTATGGAATAAAATACACTTAAGAACTCTTCGGGTGCACATACTTAATTCTTAATAGCTGTAATTTATTCACATCCTATAAGAATACATCGCTATTTTGAAAGCTAAAATATTTTGTAGAAGACTTAGGATTTTAATTCTAGAAATCTATTGCAGATTTGCTTCCTAAAATTACATCTAATTGTATTTAAAGCTTAGTAGTTAACATCGTAAAGTCATTTAATTATTTTTAATTTATTTGCTAATCTTCATAATAAAATTAATCATGATGAATTAACTTGGCAATAATGGGGTTGCCATAAGTGCTTATAGAGGATTTGCAGTGTAAAGTCAGCACTAAGGGCTGGATGTTTTCACTTGCTGTTTTCTTTCTATAGATGTCAGACGTAAGAGTTTGGTAATTGGAGAGAAGAACAAGTTTTACATTCTTTTTGAAAGCATGCTGTTTTTTTGGACGTTTAGCTAGACATGATAATTTTGGATATGAGAAAAAGAGCAAGTTTTTTCAGAAGTGGAACTAGTAAGGAAATATTTTTAGAGGAAAACATTTTCCTTTTTGGCTTAAGTATAAAACCAGAGCACAGAACAAAAATAGTGTCAAAAAGTATCTTTTAGCCCCAAATACCAATTACCTTCCACTAATACCATTATTAAAGACTGAAGTGGCATCTAGACTCACTTCATCCTGTTAATGAAAATAAGTTACTCTTGCAGTTAACCTTTTGAAAGAAATTTCATTTAAAAAGTAACTATACTGTAACTGGAACAACAAATGGAGAATATCTGTGCACAAGAAATACTTCAGAGGCTTTTTTTTTTCATACAAACTCTATCTACTTTCTATCTAACATTATATTTCTATCATGGTGCAGGAATTTCTTGTAGATAATTATTTAACAGGTTTAAAATGAGAAAAAAAGAACTGAAATATTTACTAAAGCTGTTTTACAGAGAGACTTTTTTGATTGTGGAATTTTTTTAATATTTTCAGCATGACTTGTATACCCTCAGATTATTAATAAGGCATCATCTAGGCAAACACTGCTGTCAGTGACATGATATCAGTTTATAGCGTGGTATCGTGATACTGCTTGTGAACTGTATCGTGATAGTGTCTTGTGAAGGAGCAAGATTCAGGAGGGGAACAGTTCCAGGCGTGGAGAAAAGCATACAGCAATTGGCAGGACTTTATTATATGGACCTTACAGTTATCATATGGACTTTACTGTTATTATGTGGTTTCATTGTATTCACACTACACAGTGCACAATCTGGTCATGCCCAGGCTTGCCATGAGTTTGCCTGCTGCCTGGTGCCTGCTCCCTGCTTCCCCCACTCCTCCCCCTTTTGCCCATGTCCCTATCCTGGTTTGTCCCCCTGCTTGTCTGTCTCATGCTCCGTCCTATGTTCTGACCTTTTCCCCTCCGGAGCTGATAAAAACCCGCGTGCGCACTGGAATAAACACTCTACCTGCATCCCACCTTTGTGTCCCTGACCCATGCTGTGTCGTGGTCCCATTCCCCTCCCCCCTTCGGACCGCGGCAGTGTCTCTTTGCATACCGAAAGAATATTTTGTGTTCCACTTCTGGAGTTTTTCTTTGTGTTTTTGTTTAATTAAATCACAGTTATCATGAAGTAGCCATCTTTTGTAAACTTGCCCTTCTCCAGAAACAGTATGATCTGTGTTGACACATCAAATATAAAAATCCAAAGGCATTAATGCTGTTGATATGTTAGTATGTGATCAAAGGAGAAGTTCAGTTCGCATTTGTTAATTTCTCTCAGTGCTCATTTATTCATTTATTTCAATAAGTATTTGCTATTTTCTAATCCATTGCTTCATATGGCAACAGTGAACAAGACAATGATGTCCCTCAGAATCTCACGGCAACAACCATCCTAAGAGGGAATTTCTTCAATGTGTCTTCTTGCAGGTGTCTTGGGGGAAATTCACTTCACTGGAGAGGAAGCAATGAATCAATATTTGCTGCATCTTCTGGGATTTCAGAAACCTTTGTACTAATAGTCTTCATGTACTTTTGTCCATATTAAAATCCGATTAAATAGTGTATTTTAAAAAATACTAAGGGCTTTTTCAATTATTTTCTAATTTTCAGGTTCAAAATAATACATTAAATATAATATTTTTTAAAATCTATTTGTTTTGTTCAATGTATCATTTTATTCACAGAAACCCCTAGATGTTGACTGTGAATTTTGTTCTTCAAATAAATATTCTTAATTTATTTTTTTAGTGCAAATGACTTGTTCAGAGGTTCTCTGAAGATTTCCCCTGTGAGTTACCTGTTTTCTTTAGAGGCTTCAAACTTTTCTTTGGATTCTTCTTTTCCTATTTATTGTGCTGTTCTTCTGGAGATGTTCCATTATTTAATGGTCCAAGACCAAAGAACTGCACAGGCCACATGTTGTTTGTTTAGATCAAAACACCAGTTTCATCCTCTGAGAACAGTTCAACATATCCATCCAAATGCAGTTGTAGCTGATGTCATGCAGGGACTAAGGGTGTCATGCAGGGACTCCTCTACATACCTATGACCTCCAAATCTGCATGTTATTACATTATTTATGGTTTTCTATATTATTTTTAATAACTCTTTGGATTACTGTTCTGCTTTGGAGAAAACTGATGTATGTGGAGCTTCATAAACAAACAAAAAAATTTCATCAATGTGGATTGTCAAAATTATATTTACTTTTATTTTTTTCTGAGCCCATCTAAGTTTTTGAGAAACAGCTTTGTAGGTATTTTTTACATAATAATGCAGATGATAATTAAGGATTTTAATGACAAGAGGCGGAATATGACTAAATACAGGGTGCTTCTCAACGTAAAGAAAGAATAGCAGGAAAGGAAAATAATCTTTCCTTTTTTAGGTAGTACCTCAACTTAGGAAGAATAAACTAATGTGTCTGTTACCTACAAAAATACCTTTAATAAAACCAGGATGTTGCTGCAAGTCTGTTCAGGGTCAGTTGTAACTTTCTAGTTATATTATCTCCCTAAGTATTTAATTCTGAAAGGCACACGAAAGGAACAGATGAAAGATGTTTAAACACATATATATATGTGTGTATGTATTCTAAAATGAATACATATATTTGTGAGGCCCTCCAGGGCCACTCTCTATCATCTTTTAACTGTTGTAGAGGCATTTCCTTTTCCCAACACCCAGGATAAGAAAGGTATTAGCAAACTGGAGTAATTTCATCAGGGGACACAGAGGACACAGAGATGAGCACTTTCCCTGTGAGAAGGGGCTGAAAGAACTGGCTCATCCTGGAGAAAAGGCAGCTTTGGGGGAACAGAACTGCACCTCCCCGGTGCATTAGATTGCTGGAAAGAAAAAGACAGGCTCTTCACATCTGTTCTTGGCAAGGTAACAAGAGTCAATGAACGTAAATTGCAACAAGCAAGGTGTTTCCCCATGAAGACAGTCAGGCACAGAAATTGGCTACCCAGAGAGGCTGTATCCTCTTTATCCTTTGAGGTTTTAAAACCTGACTGGACAAAGCTCTGAGCAACCTGGCCTGACCTCATAGATGGCTGTGCTCTGAGCAAGCAGGTGGACTGGTTATCTCTTGAACATGAAGCAGACTCTACTCCTATAGCTATAATAAAACCTAGGCACAGGCTCTCTAACTGTAGATTAGTCTGTTAGCTTATACAGCTTTTTCCACAGATAAAGTTCAGGACAGTCCACTTCTGGAACATTTTACCATACTATAAGATTCTGGCCTTTAAAGAAAGTATCTGATTTCCAAGCAGTTGTGGTGGGTTGACTTTGGCTGGGTGTCAGGTGCCCAGCAAGCTGCTCTGTCACTACTCTCCTCAGCAGGATAGGGGGAGAAAATAACATGGAAAAAAACCTCTGTGGATCAAGGTAACCTAATAAAGAAAAAACAAGGGTCATGCACACGGAAGTAAAGGAAAAACAAGATTTTATTCTTTTCTTCCCATCAGCAGGAGATGTCCAACACCTCTCAGGAAGCAGGGCTTCAGTAGATGCAGTGATTGCTCCAGAAGACGAACATTATAAATATTGCATGCCTTCCCTTCTTCCTCCTTTGTCTTACTGTTTATATCTGAGCAGATACTGTATTGTGTGGAATTACCCTTTGGTCATTTGGGGTCAGCTGTCCTGGCTGTGTTACCTCTCAAGATCTTATCCACCCCCAGCCTACTGATGAGTGTGGGGAAGGTTGGAGAGACATCACTGATCCTGTGCCAGCGCTGCTCAGCAGTAGCCAAAATGGTGTGTTGTCAACACCTTTCTAGCTACCAATGCAAAGCACAGTGCTGTGAGGGCTGCTATGTGGAAAAAGAACTCCATCACAGCCGACCCAATACAGCAGTATTCTCATGAAACCATTAGAAAAATGTATTTCAGTTCTCTTTTTGGGCACTAAGAAGAAGGATAGCTTTTATTTAGTTTTAGCACTCTGAGGTTCATGCAGTTCTTATCACAGCCTTAAAAAAATAATGGAAGAGAGCTTTATCTACAAGCTAATTTATTGTTTATGGAATTCTGTTAGCAGTTGTTAGTCTGCCTTTATCGAGCCTAATAGGGAATAGCCAATGCATTTAAAATTAAACAGGGAAAAAAAGGCGCTGGGGGGTTCATGGAAAAGAAGAGAAAAGAAAATAAATTAGTCGTGTTTTGTCACAGTCTTCTACAGTGATTTCAGTCAGTGAAAAGCAGTTGCTGAAAAACATTCTGAAAGAAGATCTACAAAATTAAGCATTGTCTATTTAATTCATATGTATAATAAATTGTGGCATTTCTTTTAGCACTTTCCAATTGTCTCCTGCCATTACACAGGAATCCTGTTCAAATGGATTACCAAAGGCAAAGCTGAGGTCAAGGAAACAAATTCTGCAGACTCCTCCTGAGCAGCCCATTGATTTTCTCACTGCAGCTAAATTTCTCATTTATATTTTTAATTCATTGTAGTTAAAAAAAAAAAAAAAAGGACTTGAATAGAAAGGGAAAGAGTTTAGTAAATCAATGCAGAAGCTTTTATTCCTTAGAGCTCTCTCTGGATTGGACTAGATTGTCTCAAATATCTTTTATTCTTATGGCAATAAATCTGATCCTCAAAATAAAAAGCATACAACGGTCCCTAGTTTTAAAACCGTTCAATCCTGTAAAAATTACATTTTCTTTTTTTTTCTTTGGATCATATTATCTAAATTAATGGTGTGTTATTTCCTTTCTAAATAATTCTTGGATTTGGGGGATTTTTTTTCTCTTTAAAATATGAAAAAGTAGAGAATATTTAAAGCTACATTTGCGACAAAGTACTCATTGTAACAAGGAATTAAAAAAAGTTTAAAAAACTTTTTTGTATTTTTTTAGGAAATAAACTTTAGTATTTTTTTGTACCATATGCCAGTTGATAACATGAAATGACTCTGTGTTTATAAAATTAAGATGGCTAGTACCTTCCTTTATAGAGATTCTGCACCTGCCCAGGACATGGTACTCTTTTAATAAAAACTGAATATCTGGTGTCTCCTTGAAATGTCTCATTGCATTAATCTATTTCTGCTTCCTCATTGCATGTGGATTGTTGTTTTCTGTTTTGCGTTGTTATTATGTCTTTATTTTGTACTTTTTTTTTGACTCAGACTAGCAGAGAAGTGAAATAACAATACATATCCTGAAGTGAGCCTGAAAAAAATAGACTTTAACTGCAGCTACATATATCTCTATCTATCTATATTTGTCTCTTTCCATATCTCTGTCTATCTCCATTCTCTAATCCATAATATGGCTGTAAGGCAACATCTTATACTCTGTCAAAATATAATGCTATTTCTTGATGATGAGATTTTCCAAGAGAAAGAGGAAGTCTGGAAATGGCCATGTAGTCCTTTTAGTTTATTTTCTCAGTAATTATATTCTGCTTCTTACTATTTATTTCAGCAGCATGATTTTGACCACCATTTCACATCTGACCTCCTGTAGTGGTTTGAACTAGGTTTTCCCCCTGAAACTAAGAAAGTGGTAACCCCCAGCGGGTGGTGACCCTTGGGGTTTAACCCAATCAGTGCTCCTGCAAAATATAAACATATCTCTCTGGACCGGAAAAGAGGTGGTACTTGTTGTAGAAGCAGTGGTGGCCATGTTGTGGTGAGGCCACGAGGAAGGGGCTCGGAGCCCCTTGGGGCTCTGCCCCCCCCCCATCCCCCGGTTGGGGGGCTGCAGGGACTCAGAACAGTGTTAAACTGGGCTGAGTGCCTGTGGCTAGGAGCTGGGGGGAGTTTCTCCCCGGTAGGCAGCAGTGGGAGATGCTGGGAGAAGCGGCGACGGAGCAGCAGTGGACGGAGAAATGGTGGCAGTGAGCCAAGAGATAAGAAACAGCAGAAGCCGGCATGCAGCAACACAGAGAGAACTCCTGCAAGGAAAGAGAGAAAAAGAGCCAGCAGCAGAAAGCAAGACAAGAGAACCGAGCCATTGCAGAGACAGAGTTTTGGGGGGTAAGAACTGAAAAACCAACTTCCCCCAAACTCCCTAGAGACCCTTCCGAGAAAGAGGAGGGGGTGGTGGACTCCCACCTGAGAGAAGTCCTGGAGTGCAGTAAGCACTGCAGAGAGGAGCTAAGAAGCTCATGGCCTCCTGAGAGCTATGCCAGGATGGCCAAAGGAATGTGTGTGTGGGGTGACCTTGGCCCCCCTTGCTGCAGCTTCAGAGAAGCTGGCAGCCATCTTGAGTCACAGCATGGGAGCTCTGCATAGGGGAAACCCTGAGGATACCAGACCGTCACGAAGACCCCGGTGCTTCGTGATATGACCGTGGTGGAGCAACCTTGTCTGGGGTAATGCAGCCCACGGAAAGACCCTTTGTTTGGAGACGAGGGGCCAAGAGAGGCTTGGAGGCCTCCTAGTGTGCATTGGCAAGGATCCAGCTGCAACTGCTGCTTCATGAAAGACACAGAGAGCCTGCTGCCTAGAGAGACCTGCTGCTGAGAGACTGGAAGGGGTCTTTTCTTCTTCTTCTCTCCTGGACTTTTATTTGGAGGGAGAAGAGATTTAGCCCATTGTAAATATTATATTGTCATGGTAGAGATAGAGTTAAGATAAGATTGTATGTAATGTATTATACTATTTATTTGTGTGTACAGTCATTGTAATATATTCCTTTCCCCCCATATTGAGTCTTGTGTTTTTGTCTGGAAAACCCATCTTACATGGGGTTGAGATGTGGGAGGGGGGCTAGGAATCAAGAATTGGATTTTGAGGCTGTTCAAACCATGACACCTCCACAGCAAAGGTGTTTGGGAACACAAAACCACAAGTACTCAGTCACAGCGGAATGACTACTTGATACAAGATGCATGGTATAGACAGATATTCTGTTTAAATTATGTAATCTGTTTTAGATATCAATGAACATGTTTTTTCAAGTTATTCAGTTTATTCTTATACCTTTTAAAAATAAATCTGTAATCACAGAATTACAAAATATGCTGAGTTGAAAGGGACCCATGAGGATCATCAAGTCCAGCTACTGGCCTTGCACAGGACCATCCCAAAAATTCACACCATATGTGCCTGAGAACATTGTCCAAACACTTCTTGAACTCTATCAAGCTTGGTGTTATGACCACTTCCCTGGGGAGCCTGTTCCAGTATCTAACCACATTCTAGGTGAAGAACCTTTTTCTAATATCCAACCTAAACCTCTCAACACAACTTCAGGTCATTCCCTCAGGGTCTGTCACTGGTCACCACAGAGAAGTGCCTGACCCTCCTCTTCCCCTCACAAAGAAGTTGTAGACTGCCATGAGGTCTCCCTTCAGTCTCCTCTCCTTCAGGATGAGCAGACCAAGAACCCTCAGCTGCTCCTTGTGTGGCTTCTGCTCAACACCCTTCACTATCCTCATTGCCCTCCTTTGGATGCTTTCAAATAGCTTTATATCCTTCTTATATTGTGGTGCCCAAAACTGCACGCAATATTCAAGGTGAGGCTGCACCAGTGCAGAGGAAAGCGGGATAATCACCTCCCTCAAACAGCTGCTGATGCTTTGCCTGATGCCCCCCAGCACACGGTTGGCCCTCCTGGCTGCCAGGGCACTGCTGACTCATATTCAACTTGCCATCGACCAGGACCTCCAGATCCCTTTCCATAGCATCTCATTCCCCAGTCTGTAGGTACACCAAGGGTTGCCCCATCCCAGGTGCAGAATGCAGCACTTCCCCTTGTTGAACGTCACATGGTTGGTGACTGGCCAGTCCTCTAATTTGTCAAGGTCTCTCTGCAGGGCCTCCCTGCCTTCAAGGGAGTCAACAGCTCCTCCAAGTTTTGTGTCATCTGGAAACTTGCTTAGTATGCCTTCCAGTCCTATGTCCAAGTCATTTATGAAGATGTTGAAGAGCACAGGGCCTAAGATGGAGCACTGTGGAACCCCACTAGTGACAGGTCACCAGTCGAATGTTCCCTGATTCATCATTACCCTTTGTGCTCAACCCATGAGCCAATTGCTCACCCACCCCATTATGTGTTTATCCAGCTGTGTGCTGGACATTTTGTCCAGAAGGATCTTGTGAGAGACAGTATTGAAAGCTTTACTGAAATTCAAAAAGATTACATCAACTGGCTTCCCTTGACCAACTAGGTGGATTACTTTGTCATAGAAGGAAATCAGGTTTGATAAGCAGGACTTTCCCCTCATGATGCCATGCTGGCTGTGACCAATTACTGAGTTGTCTTTCAGGTATTTTTCAATGTCTTCCAGAATAATCTTCTCCATAACTTTACCAGGCACTGCAGTGAGACTGACAGAGCTGTAGTTTCCATGGTCCTCCTTCTTTCCCTTCTTGAAAATCAGGACAAGGTTTGCCAGCTTCCAGTCAGCTGGGACCTCTGCAGATTCCCAAGGCTGCTTAAAATCATCGAGAGAGATTTTGTGATGACATCAGCCAGCTCTTTGAGGATTCTCAGATGAATCCCATCAGGTCCCATAGATTTGTAGGGATCCAGCTGGAGCAGCTGGTCTTGCACAATGTCAGGGTTAACTGTGAGTTGATCATTCTCATAGTGATGGTTCTTCAACTCAGGGCACTGCAACTCCTTTGATCAATCATCTGTGTTGAAAACTGAGGCAAAGAAAGCATTAAACACCTCTGCCTTGTTTCTGTCCCTGTTTGTGAGGTGACCATCTTCATCCTGTAACAGGCCAATGATGTTTCTATACTCTCTATTCCACTGATGAACCCCAGCACCTGCAAAACCATTTTCCCAAAGGACCTTACTTACTGCTTCCCTGAGCAACCTGAATTCTGCTCTTCTCGTGTCCAGAGTTGAGATTTTGCTGGCACTTTTCCTCCTGTAGACAGAGATTTTAAACTCTATTGCTTCATGGTCACTGTGGTCAAGACAGCTGCCAATCTCGAGACAGAGTATTTTGACATCTATCAAAAGATAGCTATTTACTGGAGCTCTCTTAGTACAGTCCTCTCTTAGTACATCACACATGATAATGTACCTTGTACCAATAGTGTCATACCCAACCTTTCCTGGCACTTTTACAGTTGTTTGTTGTTCTACCTGATCTCTCCCAGGACTGTTTTCAGCAATGGTCTTGTCCAGAGTTGCAGCCTTGTACAAAGACGGGCTTTGCTGACTTTTAGAGAGAGCAGGCTGAATTTGTTTGCAAATGAGACAAAGGATCTATTGGCACATACATTATCCAGAAAAAGGATAATACAGGAGATATATAGCCAAAAAACTGCACAAAAGCATAGTTTGTGATTTTTAGGATCCAAGTTGACCATGTGTGCTAAGATTTTGCAGAACACAAATGTGTTCAAACTTACTCCGTTTTTCAACAACATCCTCTATCACATTTCACTTTTGTCAGAACGGAGAAAAAATTCTATAATGGTAATATCTATTCTCACATTTTTGATAGGATATCTCACTTTATCCTATCCGTACTGTCTTTAAATAGTCATAAGCCACTCGTGACTGCCTCGTAAGACTTCTGTGTCCATTTTACTGCAACATTAAAGATTTTCTGAAATTAGAATGGATCTGAGTAGAGCTGGAACCACAATTATCATTGTTTAGTTCAGTTTATAAATCATTAAGAAATATAAACAAAACCATAATTCAATAGTAATATACGTTGGTATCAAAGATTTACAAATATTGATACAAAACTGTTGCTTAGATGATATTTTCATATCAGGTTGTTAAATAGTGGCTCTAACGAATAACTAACTGAGGAGAAGAACAAATCAGACTGGGAACGATTCCAGGCCTGGAGAGATGTTTATGGGGCCTGAAAAGACTATTATTCCATGGACTGACTTGTTATTCCCCAGTTTATTACCAGTTTTATACTAAGTTCAATGTACCCCCATGTTATTCCCTATAGTTTGTACTGTTCAGGGCTTGCCTGGACTTGCCCTCAGATTTTTCCCTTCAAAAGTTGTTTACTCCCTTGTTCTCCCCTGCTTTCCCGCTCCTCTCTCACTGATTGGCTGATGGTTGCTGCAGTGAAGAGTGAGCTCCCATTGGTCCTTTCCCCTGGATACCCCGGAGTTCCACCCCTCTTTTCCCTCTCCCCAATCCTATTCTGCCCTGAGTTGTCAGTCCTATGCTCCACCCCAGTTATTGAACCTCCCCTTACCCAAACCCTATTTAAGTCTGTGTTTCTGCTAATAAAGTTGCTATTGCACCCTGACCTTCTGCTGTGTCAGAACCCTCTCTGCAGTGCTGCGTCCCTATCCCCTTTCCCTTCGGGCCGTGGCAACTAACTTTGCATTTTTCAGCCAAAGGTTTTTTTTTGCCTTCAGATTATTGCTGAAAAGGCAAAATATTTTTAAATTAAATCCTTCACTTTAAAACTTTATATTTTACTTACAATTTTTGTGACAAAATTTGCATGGTAATCCAACTTGCTCATATTGATTACCAAAGACTGGGTTCAAGTTCTGTTCAAATGTTGCTGGTTGTTGTCAGAGGGTAGGATATCTCAGTTACACGAAGGACGTAAATTTTTAGGGTATGATCTTCCAAGACCTCTTAGATCTTTCACTCTTTTTTTGGATAAAACCAGTTACCTTTTTTATCTTCACACATACAGTTTTAATAGGTATTCTTAAACTTTTAGCAAATTATATAGCAAAACACTTAGCAGTTATAAAGTAGAACTCAACCAATCTTTAAATACAATTCTCTGTATGTGCAGATCCCCAGAAATGTATATCTCAGATTTCACCTTCTCACTGCTTAGTTCTTCCAGCATGCTGAGGCAAAGTGAGCGACAAGAACTGAAACTAGTCAGCGTAACCTGTGGTTGAGAAAAAGAATACGAAAATTCAGTGTCAGTGATTCTGTCTTTTAGTTGTAATCTTAATAGAGTAAGTAACATGTTTAGCACATCCATTTGTCCCAACATCTTCACAAACAAAACTGTTCATAAACAGAATGACAACATTTCTATTAATTCTCCTAATTAATGGAAATCAATAGTACAATTATAACAGCTTTTTCTACAAGAATCTGATGTGGAACTTGATGTATTATATATCATAGTATATTTTGAAGTGGACTTTTAAGTGCCAAACTTTTCTGTGATGATAAAACTAAATTCTGCAATGGAAAAAACAGTGAGTTAATGCTCTCTGATTACAGAAAGCAGGGCTTGCCTCTCTAAGTGTATGAGTACTTACCCAAAGGTAGCAATACTCTGTCTCTGTTTCCTGCCTTTCCTAAAGCCCAACCAAAAGTGACCATTCCTATTGATCGCAAAGGCAGAGTCTTCTGGGCAGGCCTTACAGGTATTCCCAAACAAAAAGGTCAAATTGTCCTGTTGTTTTGGCCTGCTTATACTGACTATTGATGGTTTTCATCACTGCTCCGAGTGTCCAAGCTTGTTGGGATTGATGAGTCAGAAATTCAGACTGTCGCATTGCCTGAGAAGCTCACAATCCCTTGTGGCTTCTGATAATTTTTACTGCTCATATTTGAAGTCTCTATGTGCTGAAATACTTTGTTAGATTGTGAAGGTCATCCTGTCAGAAAGTGCTTCTGATTTCAGAATTTCTGTGTTTCCTTTCCAGTCTTTTCACTTGTGCCTAAACTAACTTGCAGTCATAGAGCTCTGGAAAATACTTTTTTTTGATGTTTCCTAAAAGCATCTTGATAACAAGAGGAAGGATATTGTAAGAACTTATTAGCATTGTTCTAGTCTCATTCCTTGTTAATGCCTTGTGAGAACAGATTCATTTTATGCTAGCTTCTACCGTCATTAGACTTTGCCAGCTGGGAAAGACAACTGGGAAACAAGTATACTTTAGCCCTTAAGTTACATGAAAAAGGTTACAGCAAAGCAGTTTCATACTGTATGTCAAACAGCTGAAGATAAATGTATACCAAGATTCTCAGAAATCATGTTCATAGTGTTTAAATCACTATGGGTCCTATTTTCAGATGTTGACCTTTTCTAGCAAGAAAACATAACTCAGAACATCTGAGACATGCAAAAGTCCAAATGGAAAATCAAAACATAAAAATAAAATATTAAAAGTAAGAGTGGGTGAGAGATATGTAGACTCAAAAATATACATGTAACTGCAAAAAATATTTGTTTACAATTTCTATCTGACATTTTTAACTGCATAATCTGCCTTGCAAGTATGACAGAAAAACAGGAATCCATTTTTTTAATTAGAGATGCCAAGAACTAGTGACATATTAAAATTATGAAATAATAATAATAAAAAATGTTAATTATACTCCAGTATGGCCATTATAACTTCATTTTATTTGAAAGTTAGAAAATATTAAGAAAAATCATATTTTGAAAATTAATAGTTTTTCTCTACTGATCAAGACTTCTAAGGTTAGATTCTCTGACTGACCTAGACTATTCAGTATACTTATTTGTAAGTGGTTCAGTGTGAGTTTGTAAAAAAAGTATCCAAAAATTATGCAACAAAGATACTGCAAAAAAAAGTTTAAATAAAGTTCTTAATGTCTAACTAAAGCCTCCTTCATTACATATTCAAGCTTTCTATTTCCAGAGAAAGAGAAAGACTGTAAATTTTGGGTGAGTATTTGATGTCAGAACAAGCAGCGGCAATAGACTTTTTATGGAGTTTCAAGAAGAGCAAGTATGGGGGCAATACTGGAGGCTAGAAAGGTAAAACACTAGAGAAAGCTCTGGAATAGGAAGAAGAGCAACAAGAGTCTGAGGGTTGATGCCATGAGGACAAAGATACGTAACAGGATGGCTGAAAAAAAGAAAGGAAAAAGATACAGTGAAGCAATAAAGAAAAACTGATCATTGACTGATTTCAGGTGTCAACTCAGAGTACAGTTTCTGACTTAAATAATAAGACAGACATAAGTAATCTTTTTAAAGATTTGAAGGAATGTTAGAAATAGACACATATCATTTAACTGCCTCTTACCCTTTCCCAAGTATATGCATTTATAGTGACACAACAGCTGTGAGCTGGAAAAGCCTTGAATGCACAGAGTACATACATTCTCCTGCTTTGATATGTAGTTGGTATCCCGCATGAGTTCTGACTAAGCATCACTCTGATGTAAAAGATGCTATGAAATTTCCAGGCTCGGTAACTCTGTAGCAAAGTTAAACATTCAATGTGTTTGTTTTGGATTGTTTTCCAGCTCAGAAATATTCTGTTAACTAAGCTCAAGGAAAGAAAACCAATCTAAGAAAATCCTTAAAGTTCTGCTCCAAAAGGCAGTGTTAAGCAGTTTTCAAAGGCAAACTCAGTATTACAGAATCACAGAATGGCTGAGATTCCAAAAGACCTCTGGAGTTTATCTGATCCAACCTCCCTGCACAAATAGAGATCTTGAGTTGATTACCTTGGACCATGTTCAATGGCCTTTGAATGTCTCCAAGGAAGGACACTCCGCAAATTATTTGAGCAACGTCTGTCAGTGTTCAGTCACTCCCACAGAAAAAAAATGTTTCCTGATGTTCAGGGGGAACCTCTTGTGTTTCAGTTTGTGTCTTTTGACTCTGTTCAATTTGACTTTGACTTCTTTGCAACTTTCTACATTATATGCTTAGATAAAAAAGAGAATTCTGAAAGAGGGAGGATGAAAGTAGCTATCAAAACATGAAACTCTCCTCTTTAAGTGCATATGGTGAGACAATAGAAACAATAAAACTCACACTATAGTGTGAGATTTTGCAGAGTGAGAAAACACTATCAACAAACGTTTGCTCCAAAGACAACAAAAGCATATTTACACTGCAAGAAATGTTTGTGTGCAAAGGATGGCAATATATTCAAGTATGAACTGAAAATGCTGATGATTTGCGTTTCTTTTAGGAATCTTTCTATGACTTCAGATTTCCCTTTACTGAATTTGTATTTGAGCGCATAGATAAAAGTGAGTTTAAAAAAATTCTATGTTTAAATATGCAAACAATTATTATTAAACTGTGCAACTGATGTCATTATGAACATGTTATTATAAAATGAAACTCACATTCTAAAAGAAATTGTCTACACTTATACAAAAAGATACTTAACCTGCCCAAGAGAACACAAAGTGAAAAAGTATCCCAGAAAACTATCACTCTGTTTAACTCAGGCCCTCTAGACTGAAATCTCCCAATGAAGACAATCAGTCAGAACTATTTTCATGAGAACTAAATGAACACTGAATATGAGCCTCAATTTTAGGTGCAATATACCTTTGAATTGTTACATCTCTGCTCGCATCCTGCTGTTGTCCGCATAAAACACAAACACTGTAATGAAAACCACTGACCAAACCAATTTGTCTTTCATTTCTTGCACAAAAATTTGCATAAGTAAGTGATGGAAGTCCCTGAAACCAGCTGTGCTACCAGACTGCACGAAGGTTGTTTCCTACTGTAATACAAATGACAAATTAATGTAGCTGCTCAGACAAGAGCACTGAAATATACCTCTTTCTCTAACCTCCCAAGGTGAAACTCTGAAACTAATGAAAAAAAAAATTACAGGGAGAGCAAGAACTCTTTGCCTTCTCTTGGTATCTTTACTCACCTCCAGTGAAGATGGGAACTCCCTGCTTAAAAGTGAACTGGTTATCTCACGAATACCCTCCTTTGCTGCTTCTGATACACTGTAGTTTCACGCCACCAGGTTGTGCCTAAGTTGTATGATTGAGCTCTATATTACTTTTCTGACAGAGCTTCAAAGTGATTGCATTTCTTTCCTGGGATTTAGCATTATCAATTTTCTATACATTTTCTGAGAGGTGTAATTTCCTGCCTGCGTATGTCTAGGGATTGTGTCCTAATTGAAGAACTTCCCAGATGGACAAAGCAAAAATTCAAACCTTAATAATCATATGA